CCATTGTGGTGGTGTATAGAGCCAAAGATGTTAGAATTGTGTGGATGTCCCAATATTTCTGAACCTGACTGTATATTGTATTTTAATGCCTCTCAGCAATGATCCAAGTTCACTACTGTTTAGTTCATAGTAGCTCCTGGATAATAGCCTCTCCAAGAACCCACATTCCTTCAACAACATTTACTGTATGGTGTATCTGTTAAGTGTGTAATAAGACAGTATTTGATTTATGCCATCAAGTAGCTTATTTGGAGAGAAATTGTGTCAATTTAAATTGAGTTAAGTTTATTATTAATACAGTATTCCAATGTGGTATAATAACTAAGGGATTGGACAAGAATCAAGGGGACTCAAATTCTACTCCTCCCTCTGACCCAAAGTCGAAAGCCCTCTGAGCAACTTTGGGTTAGTCATACTCTCTCGGCCCCATCTGCCTAAATTTATTTATTTGTTTAAAAGATTTGTATGGCTGTCCATCCTAAACAGCTCTGGGTGGCTCACAACAGCAATAAACCCAGTAACTACAAAACCTAACCATAAAACAATAAAATAGTAAAACGATCAGACAAAAACAAAAATCCTAGGCCTTAATCATCCCCTTAGGATGGCCCACTACAAGCTCCAATTATCTTCATTTCATTCTTTCTATTCTATTCCATCTTATCCTAGCACCTTGGTAAAAAGCCAGGCCTTGATGGCCTTCTGAAAGGCTAAAAGGGTGGGGGCCTGCCGAATTGCCGGGAGGGGGAGAGTGTTTCATAAGGTAGGGACAGCCAGGCAACAGGCACACTTCCGAGGTCCCACTAGGTGGCAAGATTTCAGGGAAGGGATCTGGAGCATGCCTACCCTATCCAATCTAATGGGGCGGGCAGATCTTCTTAGGGAGACGCGGTCCTGCAAATAACCAGGCCCTGTGCCGTGTAGGGCTTTAATGGTGATAACCAGCACTTTGAATTGTACCCGGAACGAAACTGGGAGCCAGTACAGCTCACACAATAGTGGTGTAACGTAGACGAACCTATGAACACCCATTATTGTGCGTGCCATTGCATTCTGGACTAGTTGTAACTTCTGAGTGGTTTTCAAGGGTAGCCCCATATAAAGCACATTGCAGTAATCAAAATGGGAAGTGACTAAGGCATGAGTGACCATGAGCAAGCCCTCCCGGTCCAGGAAAGGGTGCAATTGGCACACAACACGGATCTGTGCAAAGGACCCTCTAGCAACGGCTGCCACCTGCTCGTCAAGCAGGAGCCGTGAGTCCAGGAGGAGCCCCAAATTGTGCAACCACTGAGTCCAGGGGAGTGCAGCCCCGTCCAGAGTCAAAGATGACAAGCGGCTGTTGCTGTAGGGAAATTGGAGGAGCAAGTGCTATGTATGCCATCTTGAGATTCTGCAGAAAGGTGGGATATAAGCAGGGCTGTGGAGTCGGAGTTGGAGTCAGAGTCAGAAGCAATTCTTGGGTTACTGGAATTGGAGTCGGTAAAAATGTAAATTTAAATTGTATATAATATAAATAATATAATATGTTAAAATTTCCTATTTCATAGATAGTAATTTGATTAACCTATTTTTTTCAGGATATATTTTAATTTTAATGCCTTGTATGCTACGTGCTTGCAGTCGATATAGGAAATAAATAATTAGTATACTCACGGCTCCCTCTCAAAAAGCAAGGGGGAGCCGCAGCCCGGGGGGGTTTTGCGACACATCCGGGTGTTGTACCACTTTTCCCCCCCCCCGGTCCGGGG